ATAAATAATGAGCGGTCTCTTATTCGGTCGTCTACACTCCTTGCTGCGAACTTTTCACATTGGTCCAGTGATTCGAGTTACTACAGAACCAGTATTTGTGTCGGATTTTACCACTAACATAAACTTCCCTGTAAACCGTATTGACTTGTCGACGATTGGAACTGCTTCGAACTGGAGCTGTGGCACGCATTCTGGACTTCATTTCTACCGTCATCCAGTTTATCAGGTTATTCAACGTAGCTGATTTTGCTTCGCGCTCAAGATCTCTAGACCACACTTTACGGTCATCAGGGCACATCTTTTGCTCAATAATGGAAAGCACGTGACTATTGTCCATGTCATTAGGGATTCCCACTTCCTTTAGCGTATTGTAACATCGTCTCACTAGATGTACTAGGTCGCAGAATCGCGGGCATCTTCCCCATCACTTAGTGGTTTAAATTTTACAATGTCCTGCGTAATAGTGTTCGTCACAAACCGGGGGTCCCCATATATAGAATCCAGGTATTCCCATGCCGCATCGTAATCAGATCCAATACCTTTTATCAACTCGAGTGGCTTGTCCTTTAAACAAGTGCGCAACAGGGTGATAGCGTCTCTTTTAACATATCTAGACTCAATGGCGTGTTTAAAATCGGCTCGAAAAATCACATTTTCATGGACATCACCAGAGAACTTGGGTAATTTGGGTTTCTCCATCTGAAACCCACAGAGGGTAACGCTAGAAACAGTTCCTACTTTGTCGTTTATTTCGGATTGACTTTGACTCTGTTCAGGGTTGCTTTGTATAGACCCAGATGGGCTGTTGATAACTGTTTCTTTATTGGTATTAACGGGGCTTGCTTGGGGGATTTCAATCACACTGATGCTTTTGCTACTGGTACTTGGCTGGCTATTCTCTGTATTTGCTGGGTTCAAATTACTCGCACTGTCTAGGTTTTGCATTCCTAACATTCCTGACGCGTTTTGCTCGTTTATTTCTTCATTATTCTCACTATTCGTGACAGAAACCTCTTCTACAGGGTGTATCAAAATAAACGCAATTCATCTTTTGTGCTTAATAACTTTCGAAATACTATTTCTAGTTAAACGCTTTTAGTCTTACTTCATAGCCTGTTCTTTTCTCTTTCAAACAAACTATTATCCTTGTCTCCAGTGCTAGTAATAATTGCACAGGAAAAGATTTAGTAAAATCTATCATTTTTAGTTGCTGTTTAATTATGCAAGTTTACTATGTTATTGTTTAGTCGGTTTAAATGTTAGAATTTTCTTCTTTAAACTTTAATGTTGTCGTCACTACATCTGGAAAACCACGTAAGAACAAATTAAAAGTATTTTAAAAGAGACCAGGTTGTTTGAAAATCCTAAACGAATGCTAAAAATCGTCAAAACATTCTGGTGTCTGAGCCAGAGTGTCATCGAATTGCGATGTAATGTAAACAGAAATTATATCAAGTTGATGTCAGTCAGCTTAGATGGTCCAAGCCAAAATTATATCGCATTTGAAGTTTCAAACTGAGTTAAAAATAGTGGAAGAAAAGCCGTAATTACACTTATTGTTACAATCCATTTAATAAAATGCAACATTTGTTTGTTTTAATGAAAAAATCAGTTATTTTCATGAGAACGATTTGTTATTCCATCTCAATTTTTTAATCTCCAATCGCAATAACGTAAAGTATTATTACCCGCGAACCAATGAGTCAAATTTAAGAAACAACCCACTGTTAGAAAGCTGAATGGCTACGCTTTAAAATGAATGTAAACGTTAACGTTTTCGTCTATTATTTGTTTAGCAATTTACATTTCAGTCGAGGATTGCGCTTTTTTTGATACACCCTGTATATAACGTTTAGCATCAATGTCAAGCTTAAGAAAGTCATTTTGACAATCCTCTAACCATTGTTCTTCCGTCTCAAAGTCCTCATCCTCGACTATTAATTTTGCGTACTTATCGTGTTTTAATTTAAGACAACATTATCAAAGGCATGCTTAATTTTACCAAGGTAATTGCTTACCTCGTCCACGGGTCTTTTCTGCTCTTGTAGTACGACCAAGGCTTTTTCCAATCGCGTTAACGTAGCTTTCGCAGTTCGGCTTTGTATTTTCGCTGTCTTCAGAGATTCTTCAGCGGTACTCGTATTCACAATTCACATACAGAACTTCCACGCATATAATGTTCCCCGAAATCGAATGTTGTGGAATATCAGTAACAGAACACAGTACACGGAATCGTATAATTTGTGGAATATATATATTTTGATGGAATTATGATGAATTATGTTGAATTATGTTGAATTATTCGATCTATGAAATGAGAATTAACAAAATGTAGCTAAATATAAATAGATTGCATGTGCTCAGCTGTCATATTCGCATGCTATGTAAATTACATATAAACATTTATCTTTACTTACTTCTTGCCGGGTTTCCGCGTTTTACATATCTTTAAACAGTCTTAAATTACGAATTATGATTCACAGGTTAGTAGACAGAACGATAAACATAAAACAACTTTACACGCACAACGTGCTCTCACATACAGACTACAGTTCATATCACATCAGTTCAAATTACCTAGTGAATCTCGTGCTCCTAATTAAATAATGTCAATCAAAGTATACTAATCAAACTATTGCCGCCGAAGGCAGCACACTTTTCTTAACATGAAGTATCGGCTTTACTTGTGTCCAGTCTCTTTGCCCGAGCTATGTATTGTCGAGATCTCGATTTTGTGTCTGTCGGTAAAGATGTCGTAATTCCGGGGAAATAATAAAGGATTCAAGAAGTTTTTTTAAACGAGGGGGGCGGTCAAACTTTTTTTGTCTTGCACGAATGCACTGTGCGAGCTTATTTACATTTTCATGATGCAAAACATGGACAATATTTTCAATAATTCAGGTAAGGATAGCTTTACTTCTTTTTGGTAATATTATATATACATGAAGGCATTTATATTTAGAACACTATGATTTCATGAATTTAGATTCAGCATGAATTTTATATCATAAATTTCAGAATTTACGCTGTCCCTGCACTGATCGCCTTTATACAAGTAGTCAAAATCTATACTTTTAGTTTATTTGTTTGTGTGGTGATCTCCAAAGGCGATAGTTTAATTATAGTGTTTATTCTACATGTATATAGCAATGTGCTTTCAGCACGTTTTAAAAACAAACGTGGAATGAGTTGAGTAGCAGGGCTTAATGATCAGGCTTATTAATATTTAATATAAAGTTATCCCTATACTATGGTATAGCATGCAATCCTGTATGGATTGTTGTCTGCAAGGGCGGATTTTCATTTTATAAAAGGAGGGTGGCAAAATATTTTCTGGTGGGGTGCAAACAGCACCACCGAACTTCAGCAAGGGTTAGGGTTAAAGACTTTCACACTAAGTAAGAGGGATGAAGCGACGGGTTGGTTGGGTTGAACACTTTATAACACCTTGGGGTTAGAGAAGGGTTAACCTCAACTAGCCCCCCCCCCTCAGTAAATCTGCCCCTGGTTGTCTGCACATATTAATAACTCACTAGCAGTTACATGTAATAGCATGTCAAACGACTTTTGTATAAGGTATGGCAGTCTGTAAAGATATATCTCTGAGATACCCATTGCCATTGTCAGTATTATTAAATATGAAATAATCCTATCGGCTTACATAATATATTCAAATTTTAACCTAGCTAGCTGTGTCACTTCTGTTTAGGGTATACTATATTTTTCGATAATGCTCACAATTTCTTTCTTATTATATAGTTTTGAAGTTCTGACTGAGTACAATCTTAATCATTACAAATGAAGGTGTCATCTGAAGCTGATGTATTAAACAAAAATGTCAGTTGTTCTGTGATAGAGGTAGTTTTGTATTATAGTATTTCTATACATGAAATTGTTATTAAATTCTACATGTCTAATGATTCATTCAAGTATTATTATCATTTATGTACTATATATAAATATATGATATTGTACAGTATTCAGTGGCAAGCTAGTCATGGCTACTGGTCATGCTATATGCCTATGCTGATAAACCTGCATCTATTTGAATGATACAAATCATTAAATACTTGCATAGCATGACCTGTTGCTATGGCTAGCTTCAACACTGACAGAACTATAATTATGCATACAAAAGCAAGAAGTTGTAAGCATTGAAGGTATTCATATCAGGGCACGAAATAACGGCCGATCAACGATCAATGGTCGGTACGAGTTTCTTTTGATCTCCAGAGAAGCAAGGTTGCCGATCATCTTGATCGGCAAGAATCATTGTCTCAAAAGCACGGTAAGTTAATGTTGTTATGAACACCATGCAATACTACAGCATTATCACAGAACATATAAACAGAACATATAAACAGAACGTATCCTGTGGCCAGATTTTCATTTGATCAGCAGAAAATCATGACTGCTGATCACCATGATCGGGAACGTTGGAAACATTATTTCGAGCCCTGTCATATAAAACCACAGGTGGCCCAGACTCTGTCTGGGTATTTATTCATTTTTTAATTTTATTATATTTTGAATTAAAAATTTACTTTAAATTTTAAAGTATAACTTACTTAGTTTCCTTTATGTATTCTTTCATGTATTTGGGAGTGGTTTTAGTTTGATATAATGATATAAAAACATCATGAGAATAATGTTAGAATTATTATTATTATTAAAATTTGGATTTTACAACCTTAAACGGTTGAAATACATCCATACACATAACTGTATGCTTAACTATTACATGTAAAATACGAATAATTATTATAAAAATATTAAAAATTCTCATATCTGTTAATTATGGATATGTAACCTACGACTAAAAACGGTTAAACTTTGATAAGAGTCTGAAGCCTAGGTACTAAGAATTATTAAAACGTTCGACAGACGACGGAATAAAAGAGTTTTTGAAGCGGTTTGTTGTGCATTTGATTGGTGCAAGTTTCTTCCGGGCACGTAGATCTTAATTAGGAATTGCAGCGATCTTTACCAGATCTGATAGCGAGACTAGACTCCGGGACAACTTTATTCTTAAAGAATGCCGAGCACAGTTGTTCACGTCTTGAATGCAAAGTTGGAATGTTACAGACCACTAGTGCGTCGTAATAGTGGAATCATATAAACAGCCCCTTATTCAGCAAATTGTGCATTCTGCCATTAATCCCTTGGGGATGAGGCAGCACTTTCCTTGCGATAGTAACTTCTAGTCATAGTTAATATTATTAAAGGTTCTTACGTATGTAGTTCCTCATCGATACATATAGTATACGCTGAAATGTAGTGACACGTACAGCCAGGTGAATATATGAATGTATTATGTAGGCCGGTAGGATTATTTCATATTATGCTGACAATGGACATATCTCAAAGATATATTTTTACAGACAGTCATACCTTGTACAAAAGTCGGTTGACATGCTATTACATGTAACTGCTGGTATTAAGTTAATATGTGCAGACAACCATGGTCAGATTTACTGGGGGGAGTTACTGCAGTTGGGATTAACCCCCCCCCCCTCCCTATACTATCTCTTAAACCCCGAGGTCTTATGAAGTGTTCAACTCCACCAAAATTTCGCTTCACCCCTCCTATTTTGTGTGAAAGTCTTTAACCCTAACGCCTAACTCCTGCCGAAGCTCTGTGGTGTCACTTGCACCACACTAGAAATTTGCCACCCCTCCTTTAAAAAAATTGAAAATCCGTTTATTATCCGCCCTTGCAGACAACAATCCACACTGAATTGCTACCGATAGGAATATCTTTATATTAAGCATGATCATTAAGACGTGCATACACATCATTCCACGTTTGTTTTTAAAATGTGCTGAAAGCACATTGCTATAAACATGTACTGTAGAATGACTGAATGAACACTATAAACTCATCGCCTTGGGATATCACCAAACAAACAAATAAACTAAAAGTAGATTTTGACTACTTGTATTAAACTATAAAG